TAGTACTCTTTCAAGTCCATTGTCTATGCGTGTTTCCAGTGACAATCTCTCTTATCAAAGCCATGTCTATGAATGATCTTTGCTCTCATCATCTTGGATATCAAGCTCTGTGGATGTTTCCTTCTAACTAACAGATGTTTCCGTGACTTTTGGTGAAATCAATGCCAGTGTTTAATCAAGATAGTTGGATCGTTGAGGTTACTTTGTGTGGCCCACCGAACTCGATAAAGTCCCTCTCATTGTGGTACTTGGTATAGCCTGGGTGCCGCAACACCCTGAGACAGAAGTCCTGGAGGACTTTCCCCCGGGGCTCTTGAGAGGCCTGGCCAAGCTTGATCGCCTGCGGTCTCTACGCCCTTCAGGAGTCAGAGGACCGTCATTACATGATACTCAAAACTTCCCCATACATCAACTATCAATTGCCAGAGTATAGGTTATTCCCAAGTGCACCATGTCACAATGTTGGGTGATGGGATGGACAACAAGCTTTTGATTCAAGGTCTGAAGTCAGAATCACTATCTTTTAGTGATGGACGAGACCGATGAAACAACGCAAACCTGGCCACATGGTTTGGAGGTTGGTTGAAGCGATGCGAAGAGTTTTGAAGAACAAGTTGATTGCTTGATCGAGGAAAGAGAAGATGGCCGACAAGAAGAAAAGAACATATAACGATCAACTAGGTCTAACTGCATCGCATCAGGTGTAAACAAATATGCTTGAGGAAAGCTTAGACTACAGCCAATATTTCTATATGATGTAAATAAGTATCTAACTAGCCATGATTGAGTGGAACGGATGGAGTCAACATATTATGCAGATTTCGAACCGGGTCTTTTTTCTTGTGGTCGAGTTTCTGCTCAAACTTGAGACTCTACATACTTGACAGCTTAAGAGTTAACGTTGGACATCCACACAGTCGCCATAGGGAAACCTCTTTTTCTGTAAGTTCAACAAAGCAAATAAGGAAACCATCATGTTAGCGGTGACTTGTTTGTCAGTGGGATATACATCAATATATATATATGTATCACTGATCAGTTTGTGCGACTCACATCGGCTGTCAAATCACAGCACTCAGGACCCTCTTTAGCAGTGCACGTGAATTGGCCCTTGTCGACAGGAGCTGACGCGATTTTGTGGGTGGGAGGAGAGATGGAGTAATAAGTAAAAAAGGATCAATACGAGCATTCAATTCATTATCGGTCCTTGTCCATCAGAATACAAATTCTACAATATTGTAGCTCCTTGACTTACGGTCTCGACGCGTGTCCCCATTACACCGCGGAGTGTTGTAATGGGCTACTGCTTTGTTTTTAGTATCACAGGTCGATGCTGAGGTATTGGCCACTAGCAAGGCTAAACAGACGAGGATGCAAGTTTTGAAGAGCATGGCGAGGATATCGATTCTATTATATTATGGTATGTATCAGTAGTTATAAGCGAAAAAGCAGACTAATCCTCTCTGCAATGGACGTACTCTGGTTTCCAAGTAGGTTGGCTGTTCGCTTGGGATGCTGGTGGGGGATGATGGGTACCTGGAAGAGAGCTGGTCTTTTAACCTGCAGCCAAGCGAGCACTCGTCCACTCATCTGGAGAAATATGCTGGCGCAGAACCTCACAGAGCCCTGGATTTTTCGATTAAGCATACATGTCTCGTAGACAGCCACGTACAATGTGTTGATTGCTACTTATTAATGCGCCTCCAGACAACGAATACCACAAATTTCACTCTAACGTGTTGCAATGATATGAATATGTACCGGCCAAAAACGCGAAGGATCCGAATATTTGAGCCAGAGGATGAATACCGCTGAAGCCAACGCGCTGTGAAGGCGGCCAGAGGCGGACTATGTAGGCACATACATACGAAACTCAATGACGCAAGTCAAGTCACCATGAACTTGGAGTGCCACTTAATTTGCGCCAGCTTTAGCTGACGATCTGGTGGCTGAGAGCCTGGAATTGGTTGTGATGTTGTTCGCGGCGACGGTATTCCTGGAAGATTCTTTTAAAAAAGCGTGTACATACAATACGATATTCCGGTTGAAAACTTATCATTAATCCCTGATACTGTCGCATTATTTTTCACCATCCGGAATCATCAACTTGACTTTATTTATGTATCATGGATTGTAGTCTTCGTACGAAACTCTCGAGCTTCTTAAAAATATTCATCCTGATCATCATCCAGTTCGGAGCTTGTTATGGGACTTTCAAGTGCAACGATCATGGCGGCAAGCACCATGGGAAATATCAGGCTCTGTGTATGAGACATATGAGGGATGAGTGGCCAGATTATCCAGACTTGGTGCGGTCGAAATTTAACGGCTACCGACGAGCACAGTATTATATGTTGCGTGATGGGAACTTGTGTGAGCCTTTTCTGCAGTCACCCATCGCCATCCTCTTTATCTCGACTTCACTAATAGTTGCAATTATGTATATTGTCTATATTTCGGACTTCCGTCCACGCCTCTTTAGTGGCGCTTGCATTGGAAAAAGACAATGTCTATACCTGCGAGAACAGATCGATTTGGGGGCATCCGACCGAGAAGAGGGTGTGCTGTAAGCTTAAAAAACCACTCAAGCACTTGGTATGTTTCCACCTTCTCGCCGGATTGTGACGCTCCTTCGACGTGGTGACACAAGCATTGATTCCAATCTCACTTCCAATCCAGTATGCCGTTACTGTCTTGAAGCAACCAGACGTTGAGCTTCATTGCTACCCTCGTTAGGTCCAGGATGTGAGATGGATAAGACAATATCTCGATCGGATGGGTGGTCGTCTTTCCTCGCGTCCGAAACAAGCCTTTAATTCTACGTATCATCAATTATCTTCCTGGTTTTCGAAATTGAGCTTTCGACCATCATTCTCAACATTCTGTACTCATATCAATTTTCATTACCTGGGAGGCAGGACCAGATTGTTGTACCAGATATCTCGAAATAAGGGTTCATGATCAGTGGTTTTTTTGGGACCACTGAAAGCAAGCAAAAAAAAAAAATTATTCCTAACTCCCGAACATACTATCCACGACTGAATACATAACAGTTCAGATTTGAAGAGAGAGTGGCAGGGGAGAAGGAAGGAGTATGCATGGCCCAAGGAATGGAATGCTCATCATTATTCAATCGATTGGTCTCACTTCATTTACGTGAAGTCATTTTGACAAAGACAGACCAGCTCCAAAAGGTTTGATCCAAACATCGCTTCAAATGATTGATTCATAGCCGTCAAATTGCTCAGAACAGAGCCCACAAAAAAAACAAAACTTGTCTTGTACATTTGTTGGATATGCCAACTGAAAAAAAAAGTAAGGCAAACGCCTTTCTTATAAGAAAAAATGGTTTAGTATGAGGGTGGTTTTTTTAACCTAATTTAACATGTCCAGATTCGAGAAACGATTTGATTGATCGGTAATTAATGAAATGTATCGATCCTTTTTCCAACATCAGTGGTTCTTCACTGGATATTTTTTGAGAAGAGGAAAACAAAGCAGTACATTTGAATGTCAGTCCGCCCAAAAACAGGCAAAACAAACAAAGTTTAGTTTCCATACAAGCGTCATAGTTAAAAATGAAGACAGGAATAGACGGGGATTGTCCATTCTTGGGTGAGGCTGATAGCATATTTGAAGGACAGAACCAAAACAGGATCACTCACTGTGGTATGTAGACTGGACCACAAGATGATCGAACAATGATAAATACACTCTGATCCAAATTCGGTCTGATGACTATTGTTTCAACCAAATCCGACAAATGTCATCAGAATCCCAACAAGAAATGGATCGTAAATTGACATTATTTGAAGCTGGGCTCTACGCACTCATATGATCCTCATCCAGTTTGCGATACTTGATGGGTAGTTGATCAAGCACTGAATCGTACAGAAGATTGTGCACTAGTGTCTGTTCCCTTTAGAAAAAGAACATAAAATCACGCATCCATTAGAATAAACTACCGCACTATTGGGTTAGGTAATGGCAAGCTAAGGGTACAATTGGCCAGAAGCAAAAAACGTGACAAACCTTGAACAGTATTCTAAATCAACTTTACTCAACCTTGACCTTGTTTCGGGATCCATCAAGCAATGATCAAAGAACTTATCTAGCTAATCGATTGTCATCATCATCAATATCAAAAAAACCGTTTCTTTTCCGTGAGATAATTTCTTCAGGTTAATTCGATAAAGTGATCTTGACTTAACTTTATGCATTCTACATCTTGCGTAGGCTTTGCAAATGTATCTCAAGTGCTCAATCTCGGTTTCGATTAACATCAATCTAAAATGATCGTCACTGGATAATTCTTCTGGGTTATTTGAGAGAACATCCAGCGCGAGAGACTATCGAAAGGAGTCAAAAGCGAATCAGTCCAGACTCGTTAAGAGATATTTGATGACATCACATTCAAGTGCTGGACGGAACTCGCACCTGTTGTTGGATTCTCGATAATATTTTCTCCAATAGTTCTTCCTGATGGGCCAAGACTTCCGGGGCGAATCGTTCGTTGATCCAATGTCGAATGAGTTGTTCTGAGAGTTTTTCTTTAGGTAAGTCTTCTTGGTCTTCAATTTCTCCCGGATGGGTGCTTGGCCTGTCCACCAATGATTCCGCCTCCATTTCCGATGTGCAATCGAATGTTCTCGTTCCTCGGCCTTTGTTTATCTGTACGTGCTCCTTCCAGCGACTTTTCTGTATATCTATGCGTGGTAAGATGAGAGAAACACGATCCGAACTTCCTTGGACATATAGGATCGGATTTATATTGGAGTGTCTCCAGCGGGGCCATGGTCGCGAGCGCGTTTGGTAAGCTGTCATTCCCCTTTCACAAATTCCATCCCATGAAGCCAGTTTTTCTTTTGTTGAAGCCTACACCTCCAGCTCACCAAAGATCAACTTCTGGCAAAAAAAATACCATGCTACTTAATGGGACATATGGAGAAAAAGGGAAAAGTAATTAAAAAAGCTTGAATGCTCATGAAATGGAAAAATAAAATAAAAACCAAGTGTGGCTATGGATAAAAGGAAATAAATTGGAATCAACTGCCCTTCAAGGACTAATATATAGAGCAACCAACATAACCAGCAGATATTTTGATTGGTTTTTTAGGATTTGAAGGCCAATTTTTCTGAAGATTATGGCATAGATTCTCCAGGAGTGAAAAAAGAGACACTGTTGCCAATTGGTTGTTTGGGGTTCTCCTTGTTACAAAAGGCAATCACAGGTTTGATGATTCTGGCCTGTGAAGAAATTTTCATTGGAGGACTTCCCCTCACCCAGATGGCTTGATTTAGAGAGCCTGATTTTTTTTTTTTTTTTTTGGATGGTGAAATCTCAAGGTCAAACAATTTTCACCAGAAAAGAAGCTTTAGCCCTTCCTTCTAAATTAACAAATTTACACAACAAGAAGTCCTTCATTAAGTTGAAAGGTAAAATGGTTGGCTGCTGTGTTAGATTATTACCCAAACTTGTTATCTTCAGACATACCATACATGCCTTCAATCTTTATCAGCTACACTTGTCTTTGAGAGTCCATACCCCTATTCTGGTTATTCCTAATCTACTAGTAATGAGAGAGTCATCCCTTCAAGAACCCATCCCTCTCTAGGATCTATTCCCCTAAACAGCAGTTCCATAACACCACTACTGTTAAAGAAAAGCTAACAAGAGACTTCTGTATTATTACTTTTTTCAGCCAAACTTACACTTTGCTACCACTGACCAGCCATTTTTCACAGGAAAAGAAAAAAACAGTGGGCAGTTACAGATACATTTATCTGTGACAAATCATAAAGAAATAACAAAAATTTTATTTTAATTGCCCTTTGGTGTATTGACTCTGTGGATTGTTGATAGCAATAACATTCAGGGCTTTTGTGAATTGAAGTAATGGCCACCTTTGATAAAGATGCAGTGTGTACTGGCAAAAGAGAATAAAAAAACAACTAAACCTCCTCAAGGCACACTTTCACACCCTCATTCATAAAAAAGGCAGGTACTTAAAAACATTCCCTTTTTCAGGCAGGTGGGAATCCTCACAGCCCTTGAGACTTTACAATATTAGCATCTGGAAGGAATGGCTCTCAGTCATTGAGACTTGTAAAGTATTGATGTTCTAAAGCTGGTTAGAAGTGTGGAATCTATCAGAACACAAATTTAATAATTAAATCCTGCTGATTGTCAGAATTATTCTTTAAATGGAACCTGTCTTCTACAGTTTCAACCAAAATCATCCCTTCAAGTCCATTGGTTTGTCTTTCAGAACTCAAAATCAAGGTTCAGATCTATCTGTCCATGGGCTGTACACAGAAAGGGATTCCCCTCCCCTTCAGCAGGCCCCATTTGGGAAATAAATGTGATTGGTAGTTTCACTTCCAAAGGTATTGGTGTTTATTCCCCCAAAGGGTGTTGATTGGTGTTGACACCCCTAATTGAGAATGTAGCACTGCACACACTACCAAAGGGGTTTGTATTGTTTAACAAACCTCCCCCTCCCTCCCCCCCTGTGGCATGGTTGACCAGAAGCAACTGATTTTAATGTGCATTACTTTTATGGGGCAGAAATCTATACCATTTGGATGCCTAAATTTATCCTGTTTCATAATCTTGGGTATGGTTTTTTAAAGAAAGGTCATTTCTTAACAAATTGTATTTCAACTATGCAAGTTTCAGAGCAGGACTGGGTTTTTAGTTCCATGTTTTGAATTTTTGGACTAGCAAGGGAAGGGGGAGGAAAAAGGGAGAAGTCATTTGAAAGAAATCAATGGCACACCTTGGGTTCTCAAGAGTAGAAAAGGTTAGTTGAAATTAATAACTGATGATTGAATTCACCTGTAACCAGCTACTTCATGATGATGAATTATAAATAGAAATGTTGGCCAAAAGTGGTACACTGCAAGAAAAAATCAAGCAACCGGTGGCAGTTGAAACGCAAGAGCTGACACCATGGTGCCTCACTTTCTCTTGTAGTGGTTGGAAAGAAGATGAAATATAACAAATTACAAAATATTGAAGATGAAAGAATATTTTGCAAAGGCTATGTATTCAAGACTAAGTTGATTTTGAATATGTCATCCAAACAAAGAGCTATTTCAACATGAGTTGTACAATTGAATACTCAAAAATTTGAAAATCTGGTAAGATGTATTCAAAGAACACGTGAGGCATCAATAGTTAAACCAGTTTATTCAAATACTGTAAGGTTGGCAGTAGAGGGGAGGGGGCTCTGAAAAATAAAAGGGGAGCATGGGTTTGAGAGTTTTATTTGCCTGAGGTTTATTAAGAATTTTGGAATATATGACGTTTTCCATTTGAAACCCACATCCAGAATCTGACAGCATGATAGGCCAGGTAAGATCTAGTTAGTCATTCTTGACATGATTAGAATATCTCATTTTGAGAGTCATTGTAATCATGATGATGGCCGCACCAAGTGCAAGCACCACAAGTCTCACAATGAAAGCGCCCTGCATGATGACATTCTCCAAGTTCCTTGATTCTAGATTATTTCCAGTGCCATCCATATTGCCCTGAACTCTTCTTAGAATTCCAATGCAGAAAATCATGATGAGAAAATTTCACTTTTCAACCATGGGTTCCAGTATGATACAATCACAATGATTGATCAGAAATTGATGTTATATTGGACTCAATCAAATACCCTGAACAAAAGTATGACTCCACCTAGATCTTCTTGACAAACTAATCTCCGGAAAAATATATTGTAATAAGGGGTTATTAATTCTTGGAGATCTGCCACTTGGGGGGATGGGGGAGCAAACTAAACAAGAAAAGTATTGGAAGATGGAGGAAAGGTTTTGCTGGTGATTCTGAATTGCAAAGAAGGGTTGGGATATCCTTATCAAGAGGGTGAGATGGGTTAAGCTATAAGATTCAGAGGGTAGAGTGGGCAGGATGTTTAAAAAAAAGCTTCCAGATAGCAATTGGTATGAATCATAGTAAGGGTGCTGGCATTCTTGGCAGTGGATAGGAAGAGATAAGGATAGGTACTTATAGGAGCTATAGGCATACTACATTGAGAAATCTGACTAGTGTGGTGTAAGGTAAGGCTATCTAATTATTAAAAAAAGGGTATAGAGAAGAATCAGTTCCGTATTTTGAGTTTGAAGTGTGGAGGAATTATTAGTAACTAGTGTCTAGAGGCGGCTTCGCCGCCAATAGTTTTTGTATCAGCTTCAGATCCATCAACAATATCACATATTTATTGCACCAAAACAAATAAATTATCTTCGATCTAATCTTTCATTTAAACATCGTCTACACAACATGCTTCTGTATCTTCTTCTATAAATAACATTTTGTTTACTACATTTGTTACCATTGTGTTCTTTGCTACCTGAGTAACCAGTAGTATGTAAGCCACAATCCTCCAGAGGCAATGGCTAAGTCCATCGGCTTAGCGACAAGACAATATTTAGGCAGGAGCCAAGGGTTCAGTTGATTAGCCCTGGGGATGTTAATATCAGTGAAATTTATTTCGATGGAGGCATCGGGGTTCACAGAGATAGGGGTGTCGACAAAATGGCTACCTCTTATGTGAAGAAGAGAATTCATCGAATAAGGTGAGGTTTTGAAATAAAATGAGTTTGGGTTAGTGTCTTGCCTGAAGAATAGGGTCAAGGATCTAGAACCAGAGACGACGGGCAAAAGAATGGAACTGAAAATGGTCTTAAGGACAAGTAAACAGTGACCGAGCAAAGCGGTCTTGGTCGGTAAATGGGGAAAGCCTCTGGCGGGTCCATCGGGATTTAGTCTCAAAAATCTTGTCGGCAATGGTTTTGGGAATCCGACAACTCGTCCAGGCCGGAAGGAGATTTTTTTTGCCAATTTGATACATATATGAACTGAATGTCTTGGAAAATAAGTAAAAAGTGACCGAGTGAAGTGGTCTTGATCGCCAATTGGGGAAAGCATCTGGCAGGAAAGATTTGGGAGTGCAACAACTCGTCCAGGCCGGATTAGGGAGTTTTTTGTTCAAAAATCAATTCATATGTTTAGAAGAAGGGCGCGGCAATGGGGCCGGATTAAGTCTTAGAAGAGGGAAACGATAAAGCCCAGGTTGATTAGCAAGGAGAGGCGGCGCAGGTGGCCATGTAACATGTTCAAAAAGGAATAGATTTTGGCACCCTGTTGGCATTCAAAATCAAAATTAAGGACAAAGGCGTCGCAAGACCGTAAAATTGGTGGTTGAGAAAAAGAAAAACAGCGCGTAGATATATATGGAAACAAATTACTAAGGGGATAAGGCAATTGGGATAAAGCAACGTCTTAATGTTTGTGACATTATTGTCTGAAATTGGGCAAAGGAGAGAATAAGTAGCGAGGCAAATGTATGGTGAGCTTCTCAGGCCTGGTGGTGGCAGAAGGAACAAAAGCGAACAAAAACTATTTAAGAAGACGACGGGGATAGAGATAGGAATTGGGAAGATGGTCGAGATGGGCGGAATAAGCAGAAGGTTATTCAGGAGGGGAAAGGAAACGGGAACAAACTGGGGGAAGGAAAATGATACCGGATTGGGGAAGCACCATGTCGAATGCATCGGCAAGGGCTGTTGCATTGGGATATCTAAAAGAACAAAAGGAGATGAAAAAGTATTTAAGAAGAGGAGGTTGAGTACAACGAGGCATGGTAGCATATGCAGGTTCAGCACAAGAATTAATGTCTTGTCGACATCGCTAGTAGCGATACCTGTC